AACATATTTGCAAAACATCAAATTAGGCCTATGGCCTATGGACACTATATGGTCAAATTCAGGGGGGCATGCCCTAGCCTGAAACCCCAACATGTTTTTGTGGCGCTTTTTCGGTAGACTAGATCTAATCTAGATTCTAGTTCCCACCCCACAATTGTTATTCACGGGTTTTGGCCCCAAGGCCAAGAGTGGGGGGGGGGGGGGTTCTAATAAAAATAAGGTGGGAGGTTTCAGGGTGCTTTTTCGGTAGTTCCCACCTTCTTTATTTGAGCCTAGATGTAGATCTACATCCTAGATCATATAGATCTAGAATCTAGATCTATACATTTGAAGCTTGGCGAGCTAAGATATCTAACCTAACAACTGCAAAACATCAAATAAACCCTCCACGTTATTTTTATTAGGTCAGGGGGGCAAGCCTACTCTTGAGGCCAAAACCGGCGAATAACAATTGTGGGATGGGGGTGGGAACTACCGAAAAAGCGCCGGTTTCAGGGTAGCTGATTTTACCATAATTTGATGTTTTGCAGTTGTTAGGTTTAATATCCTAGCTCGCCGCGCATCAAACGTCTTGATCTAGAGACTAGATCTAGATCTAGATCTACGCTCAAAAAAGGAAAAAGCACAGCTTTTGTTAGGTGGTCAGGGGGGCACCCCCTTGCCTTGTTAAATACAGGTGAAATTTTACTGCTCATTTTGTAGGCTAGATCTAAAATCTAGATATTCTAGATCTACTGATAAAACATCGATACAGAATATTTAAATCAGTATCGACATCCAGTAGTCTTTGCTTGTGTGATTTAGTGCAAGATCTAGAATCTAGATCTAGATCATGGCTAACAATAACGGGACCGCAATTGTTCAGGAATGCCCAGGAAGACTGGGGAGTTGATAAGTAAAGGCATTGGTGATTGATTGATTAATCATTAATGAAGGCCCATTGAGCATAAATCTATAGGATAGAGGCCTAAATAGAGTAGATTCTAGAGCATCAGAAGGTAAGATTGTACTTCACGGAACACCTGTCGGAATTACTTTCGCTGAGGCGCCCCTGGTGGCCCGCTATTCTTTCTTTCCAAGCTCCCCTACTCAGTTTTCTATGTCCTCACACTTCGACTGCCAACAACCAACTGATGTCTCTTACCGGGTTTTTCGGTCATCACGACCATGCCACAGTGCCCTTTGACCCATGACCCTGACACCTTGAGGCTAATTGATCAATCTAATCACGTGGTCCACTCTTCTTATTTGCTCACGACTCTGTTAGGCCTATTCCTGGTCTGGCAAAGTACAATGGAGGGCGAGAGATGCGCATGAGAGCTCAATTGCATAATTGCAACCCCCTCGGCCCTGCTCGCGACTTGGTGAGGGCTGCGAAGCAAGGCTCGGCCTGTTCCAACTTTAATTAGATCTACCCTGATTGTCTACTTAGCTCCATGGTCCGCTCTTGTTATTGTTTATGTGTGTTTTTAAATTATACCCCCCCTGAAACCCCCAACTGTCGTTAACATTGATTATATATGTAAACACGATTGTCCGCCCTTGTTATTGTTTTGCATGTGTGTTTTCTTCATTATTGTTTCCAACCCCCCCTGTTGGTATGATTCATGATACACAGTGGTCCACCAAAGTTAAAAATCCCCCACCCACCCTCAACCACCACCTCTCGCTCACCTCGCCTCGCCACTGGCTTGCGCTGTTCGCGAAGTTGCTTGCGGAACTACCTTTTGTCGGCATGTAGAGAACTATGCGTGCGTAGTTAGGCTAGGCGTGCGTAGTAATCATGGGCCGAGATGGGTGGTCAGGTAAAGTACAATCCAGCCCATCAGAAACTCATCTTAGGCCAGGGAATGGTATTTTGCAGGGCCACCTCTATACACACCCCAGGTGAGAATAGCGCAGGCGAGCCTTTTCAAACTTTTGGTTATTCTCACCCGGTGTGCGTTAACCGTGATAGCCAGGCCAGGCCAATCAGTAGGCACTCCTGTACAATTGCGGTCCCGTTAGATCTAGCACTAAATCACACAAGCAAAGACTACTGGATGTCATTACTGATTTAAATATTTGGTATCAGTGTTTTATCAGTAGATCTAGCCTACAAAGTGAACAGTAAAATTTCACTTGTATTTAACCCTCATCCTGCGGGGGCTGGTTTTATGTCGCCCGATAAGCCTATTTTGGCACCTTGTCTGCGTTCTGGTTCTGCTTCAGTCTAGCCCCTGGCTCAGTGCACGCACACCAAGCATCATCTCCCGTTCAATTCGGGTCCTATAACGTGCCCCTGGAGAATTGAGAAGCCGGGTTAGCAGTCACCCTGGGAACAGTTTTTGTAGGAACATCGAAACTATGACATGGTTCCTTTCGGACAAGTGTGGGCCTTCGAAAATAGGCTTTCGTCATGAATTTCTTGACCAAATCTTCTTGAATTAAAACAATTTTTCCATGAAACCGTGAAATCTCCTTGAATTTGGTGGAAGTTCAAGGCAGGAACCCTGTAGAACAAATTGACCCACTTAGACATGAGCTCGAAAGGATAGTCAAGAAGCAAGACTTTCATTTTTCTATACAAAATCTTTCAAATGAGCTTGATTTTGTATTAACCCTTAGAGCGCTAACTTCTTTCCCGTTATATTTTCCCTCTGTGCTGAATTTATTTTGGGAAAATGCCAGATTTGCATGTACTCTTTTTTGGCTAATTTTTTTATTTGTCAAAATTTCTAATGAAGGTATGAATAGTTTTAGAATATTGAAAGTTTTTTATACTTTATGAATATGTGAAGCAAAAAGTATTTTGTGAAGTTATTGTAGTAGTGGTGTTGGAAATGACTGAATAAATACTGCCGGTACATTAGATCTCTAGATCTAGAGTCTACATGCTTCGTAGGCCTAAATTATTTCACAAAGTGTTAGCTCTAACATCAAAACCCTCGAAATCCTCTTCCGATTCCAGGAAAATACGTGAAACATCTTTATCTGAATCTGATGCGACACTATTTTCATGTTTGTCGCGGGTCGCAACTTCACTGTCACTCAACTTCAACGTGAAACAAAACGTCCTCGCGCCTCGATCGAATCCCGTGACAAGAAAAAATGGCGGGCGAAATCAATTCTGGGTAGCCTACCAGCCAGCAGTATAAAAATTAGTACTTCGTTCTTTTCGTACATCGCGTTATACTATGCCAATGTCTATCGTCTCGGCCGGTGGTCCCGATCAGCAGTCTACGGGTTAAATGGTACTGCTTGATAAAAAAATAAGGTTATTTTATAATTTTGAATACCATTGTGCAGGTACAAAGAACAATTTGATTGCAAAACATTCAGAAATTGTCCTATATTATCCCCTTTCGAACCCCAGGTCATTCATAACAACAAGAGCGTCTAGAAAGGTTTTCGGATGGGCGTAACTAGTCGTAATGTCTTATCAGCTTATGAGAGGGGTTTATTCATGTGTTTGTAAAACTTTATAAATAGCAAACTATGAAAGCAAAAGCGTTAATTTCGTCATCAATTAACACACTCTCACGGTATTCATGGCGAAAACACGTTTCCCGGTGCGTGTTGTAAAGTCAAACAGTACACACTGAGTGACCCCAGCGGCCTGCCCGGAACGTCTGACGTAATCGGTTGCTGATAAGATTCACATCTCAGCACAGACACGGGACAAGAGTTAACAAGGCAAGGGGGGTTTCAGTGCCTCCCCCTGACCACCTAACAGAAACATAGGGGGTTTCAGGGGGGCATGCCTCCCTAAATTTGACCACAATTTGATTTTTTGCAATTAAGTTTGATTAGCTATCTCTCCATAGGCCTATCGGCATGAGTACCAATAAGAACGTTCCAGCGCTCTTGTCTTGAAAGCGTGCAGTTTTGTCTGTGGGCAGTGAGAAAGAGGGGGAGGGGGGGAGAGAGGAGTAGCGCGAGAACTTCCGGGCAAAAAAAAAAATGGCGACCCGCGTAGTTCGGCTCTATTCCAAAAGTTAAATAGCCGTAGCATCTTTGTTGACGACCAAATTTACTTTTGTGTTTTAACATCGTTTTTATCTTTGTTTTTGTCAATTTGATTGTCCACACCGATAGACAGTATTCAGAAAGAGAGAGAGAAAGAAGGAATAGATCTTGCGAGAACTTCCGGGCAAAACAAAATGGCGACCCGTATAGTTCGGCTTGATTCGAAAAGTGAAATAGCCATAGCATCTTTGTAGACTACCAAATTAGCTTACTTTTGTGCTACATCATTTTTTCTTTGCTTTTGTCATTTTTGTTTTTACTCATGCACCCGTCTCATGTTCACGTTTTATATACTTCTTTTCTGGTAGAATGGTGGAGCTATAGTAAAAAGGCTTCTCTGTAAAGGAAAAAGATAGCTGATTCTAGTGGAGGTTGATAAAGAAACCAGTGTAAAAAACTTCAGTCCACAAAATATGGCATACTGGGCTTCTTTCGTTCAAAATGTTGAACCAATTCCTAATTGTCCAACTCGATCTCCCTTGATCGTATAGCCTGAAATTAGTACCCAGCAAAATTGTATGTAACAAAAAGGTTTCCTAAGTGGCTGATTTGGGATATGATTATATTGTCAACCCCACTATACTGTTTAGGTCATTATCATACCGGGGTGGGTATAACAGGGCTCACCCAAACAGCCTTCAAAAGCAGGCGTTCCCCGCCCTGGTTGTTTGCACTTTAGACCTCTGCCGTAGAGGCATGGGTAATACATTGGTCTGTGAAATAAAGTAGTCCAGTTGAATAAAAGCAAATGTATACAGTAATATTGTACTTTATGTATAATTTAATGACTGCACCAACTTCAAGTCGTGGAATAGTAATGGTGATGGTTGGACAGTCACTGAAAAAGGCTCTCTGCTCCAGTTAATGCCTGTATTCTACAATGTTCAGGAACATTTGACTGGATTTTTTTTTCTTTTATGAGTGCATCAATTCTGTTCTTTTCATAGTTGCAACATTTTGAATGATTTTGTATACAAATTTGTCTTCCTCAGGTTGAATTATTCAAGTGGTCATCATGGATTACGATTCTTCTACAAAGTTTATTTCATCCTTGGCTAAGTTCTTGCAGTCATTGTGCAATGGATATGTTGAATTTGACAATGGGGTTCAGGTCATTGGACATTTGTATTTGAGTGTAGATACTGGTAAAACCATAGACTATGTTTTAAATGAAAAGGTTTGCAAAACGGATGAAAATAGTGTCACATTTATCAGCAACAGCTTCCACGCACAGCCTGCAGAAAGACCAAAGCCTCAAGGTAAAAGGACTGCCAGAGACAGACAAGATGTGAAAAGTGAAGATAAAGATAATAACAGTGTTGAACAAATTGAACCTCGAAGTACCAATCATGGTACAGTACAAACAGCAAGAGGGTCGGGTGAAAATTCCCCTCTCGGCAATAACGGAAAACGTCCTCTTTCACCATCCCAAAGACAGTTTAAGGATGATGCATCATTATCAGGGAGAGTGTCTCCCAGGAGCAAAAAAAGTCGGACAGATTCATTTGATCAAAATACATCTCATCCTTCCAACCTCAATAACGAAAACAGTATTTCATCTGCACCTAGTCCAGCTGGAGATAGTGGTCCTGCAAGTATGTCAGCTCAAAATTCTGATGCCCCTCAAGATTCTTCTTACAGTGAATCTTACCAGCAGCAAACGTTTTTTCCCCCCTCTGAAGAAGAACATTCTGTTGGTGGATCTGAAAGAGACATTAAACCATCATTGGATACAGATGTTACATTTATTAAAGAAGAATATGCACCATCAAGTTGTTCTCAGTCTGATACTCAAGGTAAGGAACAATGATTCTTTTATAAATTGTTTTTATGTCTACATGTTTTGTGTCAGGAAGGTTGCCTCTCTTTGTATCTTTTGTCTTTATAATAATTATTTCTTCTCTGAAACTCAAAGACCATGGTAGATGTGGTCCTTGTGGGTGGGTGGTTGGTAGATACTCTGCTGGTGTGGTTTGAACATCTTTGTCCTTATATCTCTCCTCCTTTTTAGTAATACCTCTAATCTTTAACACACTGACGTGGCCTATTTGTTGTATTGTGAATAGTAATTGTAGTCGGCGGGTGGTCCTGTGTGGTTTGCTCCTTTCCTATCAAACATTTATCGTCCTTATCTCTCCTTTTTTGTGTTTAGTTTGTTATACTCTCTTGTAACACCTCTAATCTTCGGCACTTATATGACCTTATTGTGTTGCAAGTTTCTTGAAACTCTCACTAATTATAGTTGACTACATTTGTTTCATGTTGTGATGGATTCAGACGATCGTCAGTTTTTGGGCATGTGAGGTTATTGGTATCATCTAAATGCTTATATTCATTTGCCTTTCTTTTAATGAAAAAAGTACCTATCCATCTTGAATAGAAGTCAAGATCTTTGCCATGGTGGTGGTGGGGGTAGTCTGGTTTCAGTGATAAGATAAGCGAGAAAATGGCCACCAAATTTTGGTGACTTGTGAGTTCCGCAAAACTTTAAAAAATCAGATCTACGTCCTTTCTTCGTTTTTCAATCAAATCGACATGTTTTGTTATGTTGAGCCAAAAAAGAATTGATACAAATTGCCAAGCTGTCAGAAAAATATAAGTTTCTTTGATTTTATCGTTTTGACGAGCACTTGATTTCACCATGCCTCACATTTATATTTTGCGTAGTTTGTGATTTCTACCCCACCGTATACACACTCTTGTTCGTTAGAGCTTACTGTGGTACTCTTGTGATGATGGGTTCTTGATTTTTTTTTTCTCATGGGACTGGATGGTATTTCTTTCCACCATTTGGATAAGATTATTCCAGCAAATGGCCTGAGCTTCAAGTGTGTTGAAGCTGAGTGTTAGTTATAAAAAAGGTCCTTATCATGTGGGTTTTTTAAAATAATGATAGGTGAAATCAGGTGCTCGTCAAAATAATGAAATCAAAGAAATCTGCATTTTTTTTGGCCGATGGCAATTTTTACATATTTTTTTTTTTTGCCTCAACACCTTTTATCATATTTTATGTCCATTTAAAAACACATTTCGTTGTGGATTTTACTGAAAATCAATGAATGACTAAAGGCTCATAAAATGTAAATTTCCAGTTTCCAAGGACTCTCAGGCTATGGAAGATAACAAACTTTGACGGCCCATTTTGTCATTTCTGGCTAATTTTACCTTCTTTTTAAAAAAAAAATGGTAGGGGGTTTTACATTTTACCTCTGAAATCAGGGACCATGACCTTCAATTGCAAATATTTTGACTTCTATTCAACGTCACTGGATATATTTTTCAGCAAAAAGGAAAGCAAATGAAAAGGCTTTAAGATTATAACAATTACTCCAAATGTACAAAAATTGATGAGTGTCTGATTCCACCGCGTTGTGACACATTTATATGTTCTTCATGGGAATGTGTCGAGGTGCTACTATAAAGGGAAAGAATTACTTAAACTTCAAAGTACTTGCTTATAAGAGCTGTTTGCTTCCCTTGGCATTGCCCCAGAGCCAAAGAGTAGGGATTCGCCCTTTGCGCTTAATGTGAACCACATCAGACTCATCACTTCACTGTACTTGGAAGTTCTAATGTCACATTAGAACTTCCAAGTACAGTGATGAGTCTGATATTCGTTGTGTTCTCAGTTTACATGTTTCTTGGTTCATTGCTGATTTTGTCTTCTGGTTTTTCACTTTGTTTACAGTGCACTGTAGGTTGGGTCTACTGGAAGGGCCAGTTTTGACTCATATAAGATATTTCAAATTTGGTTCCACAAACCTGCCTACTGCCTGCAGCCCATTCATTAGGCAGTTATATATACTGAGCAGTAGGCGGGCTGCTCCTCTGCTGGCAATTCAGGCTCAGCTCCTTAAAGGCTGGTCCCAGAGCGGCTCTGTACATCTGTCGGGTCTTGCCTTGCTATGTAGGCGTACTCTGTGCAGTGTTTTACTGTCAAGTTCGTCTGACGCAACAGCGTTAATGAAATATCCACAATTTCCATACCTTATTTTGACAAATATTGCCAAATTAAAGGACCTTAAAGGACGTGTCAACCGTGTAAAAAATTGACTTTTTAAACTTTTTATTCTCAATTTGTTTTGACAAAAACTAACGAGTAGAATTAAAGAAGACTAAAACCTGTGGGAACTCTGTGTGAGAGTTTAATAGCAGCTTCAATCCTGTCTCCTTGTTTGTTTAGTCCATTTTCCTTCTTTAGATGGAATTCATAGAGCAGCAGACTACTAACGTATTGTCAATGCTCTTCATGATCTACCGTTGGTTACGTAGTGAGTAGTGTGCGGCTAAGCTGATTTATTGTTACCTGTTTTGAATTTTTGACAAATGTTGATGCATAGCTTGGTGATTTTTCGTTATTGTATTAAAGTTTTAGTCATTTGTTTACGGAATTTATTTTCCTTTGCATCCACAGGTCGTGATAGAAATCAAGTTGAAGACTCATCAATGTATCCAACCATGTTTCCGTCAAGCCATTCATATCCATCAGGGGCGTATGCTGGTCATGGAAATTATGGGGCATCAACACCAGGTTCTCAAAGGTCAAACTTTAGCTCATCTAGTGACAGACATTCGGGCATGTATGCATCAGGACAAAGTTCAACGCAATTAGAACCAGGGGAAAATACAAGTGATCCTTCAGGTGAGTTCCTATTTTTTCTTGTTTCTTGGATTTGTCAAATGAAAGCAGTGTCTGTATTGTTTTTGGTTTTTTTAAGATGGGAAGTAAAGGTCCTTGTTTCACCTTTTCGGGTGGGGGATACAGGAAAGAGATAATGATTGTGAAGAAAGTATCCACTGCTGTTAAAAGTTTTGGACCTGGGAAGGGTTGTAAGACTGATTAATTATTGAATAATTTCAGAGACATCAAGTAAACTAATGAATTGAGTTCCAAAGCTTCGAATTTTACCTTCTTTAAGGTGTAGGTCACATGAGATGCTGCTTGCATTATGACTACATTCAACATTACAATATTTTTAAGGTGTGCTTTGAAAATCTCTGGTTTTTAGTTTTCACTTTAGGGAGAAATCTTGTCTTGTGCTAATTTTTTGGTATGTTTTTAAATGGGTTTTCTTTGGGGGGGGGGGGGGGGGGGGTTGGCTCTAAAAAAAGTACTAACGTGTTTTTAATTAACTAGCTTTATATATATAAATGTCTTGTTGCCAAATAAGATGAAGCAAGTTCTCTCATGCGATTTGTTATGAAACAAAAGGATTTTTAATTTGCATAATTCAAAATACAAAAATGTTTGTGCTGATGTGCGATTTGCAAATTTTCCACATAAGAAACATCAATAAGAATCTAAATCAAAATTGTGCTTAATCAATTGATTATTGCATACTATGTCTACTTGTATGAGTTCAACTTGAAAAAGTGTGTAAAGATAATTGCCCAGTTTAATTCAGTAATTTCTGAACAATTACCTACTCAAGTACATTTGAAACTTTTCTGTATCTTCAAAGTTTTGAATCAGTATTTGTAAGGACTAGTTGTCATTGTGATGTTAATCTTTTTTGGGGGGAGGGGGGGTTAATTAGAAAATGGAAAAATATTTTCTCTGATGAAGTTTGTTGTTATATTGGTATAAGTTGTTTTTTCTTGATAGTTTTTTTTTCCTCCCGAAACGAAGCAAGTTGGGCAGATTTTGTCAGGAAAGGGGATTTTTCAAGCACACCATTTTTATAAGTTATAATTTTGAATACATGAAATTGAGCCACGTCAATGGTCAATCAAAATGAGTTACATTTTTCAGGTTTTTGTTTTCATAGGTTTATTAATGGCCTAATATTGAGCCATTTGTCATTTGTAAAAAGATTGGGCAAATTTGTTTTGACTTGTTAAAGAAATCTGACACCGAAGACTGATATGTAGTTTTTTAAAGAGGTGACATGGTCTGTTGGTATATCATTTGTTATATTAGGCATGTACATATTCAGCCAAGCATACAAAGCTATTCATAAGTGTGGTTGATTTTGTAATCCAAGATATGCACACACGTGTCCGGTCACCAGTGTTAAAGGTGCAGTGTACTTCTCCGTTTGCCATTTAAATGGCCACCCATTTTGATTGACTGAGATTAAAAAAAAAAAATCATTGCTTTATCTGATTGGGGCCCTAGGAATGCACAACCGTTTCTGTTTCATGTTAAATTAATGGTATGTTGAAGAAGTATACTTTTCTTCGCAGGTTTTTTTCCCCTCCCATATACCATACAATTTTGGAATCCTGTTAATTTTAAACCTGCTGCCATCTGCGCTGTGATCTTTCATTTTTTTCCCTTTTTTGAAAATATTTATTTGTAAATTTGAAAGCAAGCCCTCAGTTGTTTTATCTTACTCTTTGAAAAAGTAAGAGTTGTGTTGATTTTATGGTTTCTTTAGTACATTTTATTGTGCAAAAACTGGGCCTCAATTAGTTAGTTTCAATGGATAAATGGTCGTGACTCAAATTGCTAGTCAGTGATATATTTCGGGGGGCTAATAGCTCTCACATTTCTCCAAGCCATTCACATTCCAGAGAGGCAATCAGGTAAGTCATGTGATGGCTTGAGAGAAGATAAAAATTTTGGCTGGAGAATATAGAAGACTAACCGATGGGTTTTTGTGCCGGTGTATTATGCATTTAAATCATACAATAGTAGGGATAAAGAATAACGTCAAATTACAAGGTTTCTTGAAACTATGCGGTAATTTGAGAGTTTTCTTTAATCACATATTAAGAGGGCAGCTGTAAAATCTTTGCAAACTCTTGCAGGAAATTATCAACATATTTCAACACTTTAATGGGATTATTTTGTGAAGAAACTTTATCTGATTCCTTATGTTGTGTTAAAATTGTTTCTTAACAATTTAAAGTTCTTTATGTGAAGGAAACATTTTGTGAAATAACTAAATATTCAAACAAGTTATTTTTTATTTGATCTTTAGTTTTTACACTTGACACCCTGGCACATTTATTATCTGGTTATATTACTGTGTGAGAAGTTCATCGTTTGAGTTTTGTTTTGGGGCAGTGTAATGTAATCGATGTTCCATATTTTTTAGGTTTGAATCAAGTTTACTTTTTTAAACAGTAATGCTAAATTTTAAAGAATCTTTTGGTTTATTTATTTTCTATACATCAGTCGGTAGTTGTCAAGGGGGTTGGGGACTCAAGATGGGACCCAGTGACAGCTTCTTTGTTCTTCAGCCAAAATGCATCATAACTTCCAGTCCCATTGTTTTATGTCATGTACTTGTGCATTATTCATGGCATACTTTTCCAGAGGTTTAGCACTTTTGGTACAAAAATGTTGGAAAAGTTGCCTTTTAATTTGTAAATGGAAAGTTTCAGACTTGTTGAAAATTTAATCCTACCTTTTTAATATTCGGAAATGACAAAATAAAAACAGTTGGTTTGCAATTTTCCATTTACAAGTACAATCACATTAATTACTGATTGTTTGGCTGCTTATATTCATTTTGTATATTTGGAGCCCTTCCTGATCTCTTTATTTTTTAAAAAGTCATATGTAATCTTAAAAGAAAAGCATTGATTTATATTAATATAAAAGAAGCCAAACAGCAGTAGTTTTATGTGGTTCTTAATATTCTATATTGTTGTTGGAGAGGGCCTGGGCTGGCAGGTGGTAAACTCAGAAGTTCACATGGTTCCCAATTCTTTTGTTCAGATTTATTTTGTGTACCTTTATTTTTGTACATATGGTTTTGGCCTCAGAAGTTTAACAATTTGAAGTTGACAAGAGAAACGATTTAAGTGATAATGAATTTTTGAGAAAATAAATGGTGAGAAATTATTACACAACCATGGGAACTTTTAAGGCTACTTCTGTTTATTACTGTATTCATGTTTATTTTAATAAGCATGTCCTGGCTGGGGATACTTTTTGGGCAGTGGGGATTTGCAGGGATGGCGGAGTGTGTGGGATAATGGTTGGGAATCAAGTTTGGAATGGATGATGGGGAGAGATTCTTGTCGTGCTCTTGTCAATTGAACAAATTGTTTAATTTTAAAAGACTTGGTTCCGACAGTTTTGAAGTACTTTTGAAAATATTGAAGTCTCTTGACCCCATCCAAACATTCCCCTCGCTTTAAAAACTTATGCAGACAAACCACTAAACTTTTAGACCGCTCCTCATGAAACGTATTTAAGGAAATTGTTGTTGTGAGCAGCACACAGTAAAGACTGTCTTGAATCAACTTTGTTCCCAATACTGGCGACAAGACCATTTGACTTGCAAATTCAGACTTGGAAGTAAGGGTTCAACGAAACGTACTGTACTTTGTTCTGATCTTGCTTTGCAATTGCGAAAAGAATAATTTTTCCCTTTGGTGCAACTTTTATTGCCTTAGTTTTGAACTGTATCTGTAGAATAATATGAAGTCCTGGTTACAAATTCCAGGCACTCCGGGTCTTTGAAATCCTTGTCTATTCTTAAACTGTGGTCTTTATCACTGATACTCTTCTTCAGATTTCGTTATAATTGATTTTGAATGTCTTGATTGCGAACTAGATATAGAACTTTGATCTGTAAGAACGGGAGGGACTTTTCCTCTTCTATGAATTTTTAATCCAGAAAGTGCACTTGTGATCATAATAAAAACCTTTTACTGATGTATGGGCAGATGTGTCCAACATATTTAAAAATGATTGTTGGTGATCTTTGTAACAGATTAAGTTGTATTTTCCTGTAAAAGGTTAAGTGCTGTGGTTGCTTTTTTTTAGTGAGACTGATACGATGTTTCATTTAATGCATTTTCTCTGTAAGATGTGTCTTTTAAAATTATTTGTTTGTGTTTTCATTTTCAGTATATGTAAGGAATCTGATTATCTCAAGTATTCTACAATTAACCCGTGGTTGTAATGGACTCTATGTCTTTCTTTACATTTGCAAGAAATCAATAACCAGTTGGTTTTGAGTTCATTAATAGTAAACAGTGTATAGCTTCTATTCAAAGAAATCCTTTGTTTATACATGATGGTGATGCCCGTCATCTTTCATCTGCATAAATATGGGGGGGGGGGGGGGGGGAGGTATAATAGAGACTGTTAATTTAAAGAAAAAAATAACAATTTCTTTTTCTTATTATTTTTGGTTGAAGATCCGTCTGTCAATGAGTAGAAAAGATGCATCTGGTTGAAGGTAAATTTCTTAAGAGGTCCATGAAGGGTTAGTTTCACTTGATTTTTTGTTCAAAGTTGCAGTGGAGTAGGTTAAACTCTATCAGTAAATGAAAAAATGTTTTCCTTTGGTCCCCTTTTTCACTGTTCTGCTGACTGCCTGCTTAATGTGGAATTTAGGTTTTATTCTGATCGTCTTTTCTCAGCTGGTTGCGAGATAAAATCAGGCCATTCTGTTTATTGACAGTTGACAAAAAAGATTGTACTGTCAACATAAGTGGTCAATGCCTTTTTTTCTTGGTCTGATACTATCAGTGTGTTTTGTCTTGGTTCTATCAATGTCATAAGTTTGCTCCGACTCTTTGTTTTGGCGGTATAGTCCACCAGTATCAGTGTTCACGATGTCATACTTTTTGAAGGATGCATCATTTCAAAGTGGTGTTGAAAGTTGAGTTGCTGCTGGTCAGTGCAGAGGAGTGCTTAGGATAGGAGTATGGATCATGTTTTTGTTTTGTATTGTG